TAGGTACTAAGGTTGTGCGATGCATGTTTTATGGCCAATTTTTCATTTCCAACTCAATGGTGTTGGTTATAAGACTATCAGGTACGGCTTAGGTCACTTTCTGGTGAAGGTCAGGTCAAGGTCAGGTCAAAAAAGGTCAAATTTTAAAGTTGATGGTTTTGCATAAAATGGGTATTGATTCGATGCAGCTCGTCACGGGGAGTCTAATGGTGGTCTTTGTTTTGCGCTACGAGGTCTAGAATGGCTAAAAATTGAGTTTGAAAATTTGACGTCATCAATTTTGAACCGTTTTTTCGCTATAACTTCGCCAAAAAAAGAGGTATCAATCTCAAATTTGGTATGTGGATAGAAGGCGGTAAGGACTATCACATATATTCCGGTTTTTGCGAAATTCAAAAAACTTTTTGGATTTTTCGGCTATTATATTCAAAAAATCTATTTTTTATTTTGGGGGGTCAAAATCCAAAAATTTCAAAAATCCGAGATAGCAGTTTTGTAGCCCTGTCAATTCTACAGCTTTTATGTCTTTATCGTTTTTCTGTATTTGCAAAGCTATAGGCCTGACAGCTCTTCCCGCGAAACCCTTTTTTGGGTCGAAAACGGCAGAACATGACGTCACTCTGACGTCATTTTCGGCCAACCTATCATAGCCTTTGGAAAAAATTTTTGGTCACAATGTGTAAAATTGATGTCCGGGAGGATACTGAAAGTTTGGTGACGATCGGCGCAGCGGTTCTGGAGATATATCGAAAAGTCTGGAGGGGGGGCAAAAAATAGCCCCCCCCCCCACCAGGGCGCGGGTTAAGGCACGGTAGATAGAAATTACCTCGGTTCTCAACGCCTTAAGTTATTTTCATAAAAAAAGAACAAATAAATGATCAATAAGATGACAGGAATGTAAACATTTTAATCGTAAAGTAGTCCAAATATTGGAATGAGCTTTTGCTTTTCAGCATCCTCCGATTCATCATCTTTATCATTTGAAAATTCGAGGTACATAAAATGTTTATCACGCGCTCATGTTAAGTGGGAATATAGTACACGGCAGACACATCAATTTTTGACACTGAACATTTCATCCGTAGATGTTTTAGCATAATTTAAAGTTAAAAACAGCGCGAATGGCAGAGTGAAGCAAACAACATCTTTCACCCATTGATATAACATGTAATCTGTGGTGCGCCAGATGCGCCATTATTTGTCAACCGCAGAAGGTGACATGTGACGTAACAGCATCAAGAGCATCTTTTTTCAAGAACTTTTCAAAACAAGTTTCCTATCTTTCTTCCCCCATTTCTCTCAGCTTATTGATTTTATGAGGCAATGGTATGCACCATAAATTCTGTGAAAATAGTTTGATCATTTTCATGCATTCTTAAAAAATCGAGTTCCCAACCCCATTATGAGACTATGCGTAGTTTTCCGACACAGCGCGAAATCTGTTGATAAGCAGGAAGGGGTGTTAGGGAAGCATTTAAGTTATTAGGTTACCGTTTGTAACCAATTGTTTCACGAGGCCACTCTTTAACTAACAACTCTCAGGCTGATAATGTCCCTATATATAACAGCAAGGTACAATGGACGACCGTGTAACCCACTCCTTGTCATAGAATTGGCTCGTGACATTTTTTTACAGTGATAGTATCATGTGTTGCTCACTCCTCGGGTCCTGGTCGAAATCCGACGCAGCCGCCTGACAAAAGTGGTTCTCTAGTTACTAATTAAACAGTAATGCAAACTTGCACCGACTTATTGTCGCTGATGCCAGGCCTGCATTGATAAATTTCCCCTTTTCTGCAACTCGTTTTTCATCATTTTTCTCCGTAGGCGATTAATTCCGTTAGCTCATGAAGTATGAACACATTGTATGAAAGAAACTATTTAAGTTTAGTAAATGAAATTCCAAAATTGTTATCGTATAAGTATGCGGTCGCAAAAGGCCGGATTACTTTTGCTAACTGTTTTATCGGTTACGTGATAATCCACGGCTTATGACGATGTTTTCGGCTTATGACGATGTTTGATGTTTTCCGTTGACGGAGTGCTCTGGTTTACCGCGCACCTTATGATGCATACCCGCTTATCATCCGATATATCAACCGTTCAGTCTCGGTCTGACGGCTTCTTCCGACAGCGGAATGAATGCCTTGAAAGCGAGCCAAGACGAGCTAGTACGCTCATCGACCGGCCTTCCGATAGTGGCCGCGCCAATATGACCCGACGAGACGGTAGCCGGCAGATAAAGGCTCGCAGCGCAGAATGTCGTACTCGTAAACCTTACGCCATGGCATGGGTCAATGTGATTCTTTTCTTCTCTGCAAACTGCGTTGGTCTTATCTTAGATTGGCGACGTCATGAGATATGGTAGCTCTGAAAGGATGTAAATGAAATGTTAATGTAAATAAAGATGAACTCCAGCTGTAATGATCTAAGTTTTACGTGAGAAACTTAAATCCAGCGGTGAGAACACTTCTGAAATTGAAATGAAAATGTCATTCACTTTTGGCCTCTGCTCGCTTTTACAACTTCCGAAATCCCTCGCCTTGTAAGAATACAAAGTAGCCAAGTCACACCGTGAGCTGGATGTTTTTCTCTCAGAGCACAATCCCACCGAGGGCGGCACCCTGGTCTGCGACCTGGCCAGACTGCTAGGAGTCTGGGTCGATTGGACCGCCTCGATCACCGACGACAAACAACTCGGTAGCTGCGTCCGAGCGGCCGACCGCCGCGCCGGCGACGGTCGCCAGCGAGCGCGGCGCCGCTGGTCCGCTCCGTACTCGGTCGTTACTTGCGCGCCTGGCGTTTGACCTAACGGGGTCTGACGGGTCTGGTGGAGGGAGGGGAGGGGAGGGAAGGCGGTCTGCCAGTCGGACGCTGGACGCTGGACGGGTGGAAGAGATGTGGACGAGAAGTGATAAACTCAAAGCCGGAGAAGAAACAAGATTTGTTTTGGGATTTGAACAGGAAAAATAATAGCTGTCATCAAAGAAGCATTTGAAAAAGAAATAATTTCTCAAATTTCTGGGTACTTCAGCAAAGTGTTATTTTGGTAGCAGCCTGATGCAAGTGCTTGTATGTGTTCAATACAGCTACATCGACTACGCAATGCCAGAAATCATGACTGTTGAGGGGACCAGACTGTAACGGTCATTGGGCACGGCTGTCTGGATCCAACACTGCATGCAATTAATTCAGAGGATTGGCAGATAGCCCTGAGTAGATAACCGCAGCTCAGCGGGCACATTGGCGGAGATTGGCTGCCATTATCAGCCGATAATTGGCTGATTTCGGTGATATATTATATGCTGGCTGGACGACCAGCTCGCCTCATGAAATCAATCCCAAATTCTGTTATCGGAGGCTGCTGTAGCCTGGGGGACATTATTTCTCAACTGGCCGGCCACCTTCTAAATAGTTATCACAATTTTTTCAAAAGTACCAGATCAAAACGCCACTGCATTGAAGCAGCAGTGAGCACTATCTTCAACTAGCACGTAAAATTACCCAACAGGAATACATGCCATGAATTTCAGTGTTTCACTGTATCTGAACTAAAGTAACCAGAAGATACCAGATGCATGCATGCCATTCAGTCCACTAATAGACCATGGGTGTGGGAACCAGAGAGCTAGCGACCAACTGAACACACCAATGAGCATTTCAGACAGAAGAGGTAAGGAAAAAGAGAAAAAGAAAGAGACAAGAAAAGGAAACGGAAAGAAATGGTAGAGGGAAGTGAAATAGAGAGAGAGAGAGAGAGAGAGAGAGAGAGAGAGAGAGAGAGAGAGAGAGAGAGAGAGAGAGAGAGAGAGAGAGAGAGCGAGAGAGAGTGAGCAAGAGAAAAAGATGACAGCCAGAGAGAGGGAGAGAGAGAGAAAGATAGAGAGAGAAAGAGAAAGAGAGAGAGAGAGAGAGAAAAAAGGAGAGAAAGAAAAGGCGAGAAAGAGAGAGAGAGAGAGAGAGAGAAGAGAGAGGTCAGAAAGGGTCAGGTGCGTCTGGCCAGTTGGCCTATAACCCGGTTCCCTTGGGGAGAGTCAGACGGTGGAAAGAGCACAAGAGCCCGCCTGGAATAGTGCTCCGGATACGAATTGGATGGTGCACGGAGCTCCGTTGAACGCCCACGTGTCGCTGATGAGATCTAAAACTTTCATAGGACGCCTAACTGACATAGCAGTTGGAGTGTGAATTGATGTGAATTAGATGTGAATACGAGGCTTCATAGCACTTACCGGATCATAGGTTCTGTATCCAACACACAGGGTTCCTTATAAAAAATCCATATCTCTGGAAATAAGCGGAAATTTAAGCAGATACAGTAAAATACGATGTGTCTGCCTTACTAAGGGTGGTAACTCCTTGCCTTTTGAGAGTCATAGGAAGGAAATCCGCAAACTCAACGCAGCACTTGTTAGGTTCGTTTTATAAAGAAAAATTTCTTGTTGGTGCGGTTTCATATTGGTCGATTCCAAAAATAAAATAGGTTTGCAAACTCTTACAAGTGTACTTGGACATATACTCACGGATGTTCATGCGTCGTGAACATTGCTAAATTAGGCCAGTAAAACTATGCAATGCAAGAAGTGGCAATTTGTAAGGAAAGGAGCGCTGAAATTCGACTGCTATAACTATGCTAACTATTCTAACTATCTAACTATGGAATAACTATGCTCTCGGTGACAGGCATAGTTATTCATTTTTTTTAAATCAGGATTTGAACGACATTCGCCACAAATAACGAAATATAACATTTGGAATTTATTGTCTTTTTGAAGGGAAAGCTGACCACAGAACCTATTAAACATATCGTTCATTACATTTACGGTACAAAAATATCTGTGAATGTAGAAAAAACGCATACAATGTATTCTGTCATCCAATCAGTCATTTCATAATGGCGTCATTAGTTCCCCAGGCCCTATCACAGAGGGCAGTCGCTATGGATGAGGGCGCCGGCCAGGATGACTGATGGCGTCATAATGACATCACACCGTCCGTTTCAGCGCTATCGAAGAGCACAGATGCGGTGGACGAGGGCGCTCAGCTGAGCGCCGATGACGTCACTGTCGGTTGTCTGCGGAGCGGCGGCTACTCGGAGGAGTTCCTGGACAGACTGGAGCCAAATGGAAACATCCCCAAACACGGCTCACTCTACAGAGGTAAGAAATTTTCAAAATCCCACAGTTTATATAAATACACACAGAAAAATATTAACACCGTTAGCGGTGTAATTGCACAGTACATATCTGAGCACTTGAGGAAAGTTAATTTAGTCCCTTCCCCGCTTAAATTACTCGCGCTTCTAAATGAACACCAGGAAGAAGGTAATAGAACACTGTTAGGAGGGTTGGGTGTTTTGCTACATGTAGTAAAACACCCAACCCTCCTAACAGTGTTCTATTACCTTCTTCCTGGTGTTCATTTAGAAGCGCGAGTAATTTAAGCGGGGAAGGGACTAAATTAACTTTCCTCAAGTGCTCAGATATGTACTGTACAATTACACCGCTAACGGTGTCAATATTTTTCTGTGTGTATGAAACGGCCGACTCGGGCCGAAACGAAACCACCTCGAGCTACTTTCTTGACCTAGTGTGCGTTGAAATAACGTCACAAATCGTAGTTATTTCCAGTAATAATTTCTCGTGTACCAGCCGAAGTGTTTTGCACGGTCGGCTTGTGTAGATCAGCAAATCTCATTTGTTTCGACCTTGTAGCCAAGCATAGACGTGTGCTATCTATGTTGCTGGTTTTATCATTGTAAACAAAAGCAAAACGCAATTTACCACGGAGTCCACTGCCCATAAAAATCGCATCACTGAATCAAATCCGATACTAAATGGAATTTTCCGCCCAACTCCATTGCGGTATCCAATACCGCACCAGCCATTTCGCCCAAGTTTTGTCCTGTTTGTGTCTCGCAGTATCGGTCAGCAGACCCGTGAGATTTCTGTCCAATAATCTCAGCCACGGTTTCTTCGGTGCCTGTCTCCCTCCCTCTCCTCCCCTCTCTCCCTCTCCCACCCTCTCTCTCTCTGGGGATCTGGCTGCCCGCCAGAGCGGCCGAGCGTCACATATCACGCACAGGGGGCGTCGCAACATTCGCAGCTCCGCCCGGAAGAAAGTGATGAATCACAGGGGCGTGACGGGGCGTGGCGTGACGTCGCGTGTGTGACGTCGCGTGACGGGCGACGTTACGGATAGACGGAGCGTCAGGAGTACGGCTGTGGTATAAAGCATTACAATGGGCGGCAAAAACCGAACGTAGTCGAAATATGTATGATCGTTGTTAGAGAGTATGTGCACTCAAACATAATTTGATAAATACGTTTTTACTCAAATGAACTAGCGTTGTTGCTTCTCAACGATTGGACGAAAAATATCTGTTATTATCTTATGCTTTTTATGGATCCGATAGTGGGAAGTTAAAAGCCAGGCACGGAACAATAATTCGTATTTTTTATTTGTATACGTTTCGCCATAGCAGTAAACTAATTCGGTGAACTCTCTTTTTGTCGCTATCAAAATACGTCCCACCCCTATCTCTCTTTTCATATTTTCCTTAATTGCCCATTCGTCATTCCCTTACGTCAATATTTTTTTCCACATCATGTGCCCAGTCTTCTGTTTCCTTTTCCCACAGCTCATCTATGGGGCACTCGGGAACGCATCCCTTCCACACACAATGCCTGTCCATATGCACACAATTGGGGGGGGGGGGGGCATAGCGTTCGTCAGGAAGATATACAGTCTCTTCCTGTCTGTAATCGCCACCGTACTCTGTTGTCATGGCAACAAAGCGTAAAGTCCGGTCTGTCGAGGCATAGCAACCGTCTCTTAGTAATGATAAGCAGCAACACATGGCAACAGCTCCTTGGATGAGGATGAACGTAAACGATGGATTGTGATATGAAGAGAGAGAGAGAGAGAGAGAGAGAGAGAGAGAGAGAGAGAGAGAGAGAGAGAGAGAGAGAGAGAGAGAAGAACGAGAGAGGGAGAGAGAATTGAGATGGGGAGAGATAAAAATAAAGAACAGATGGAAATGACAAAAGTGTTTATTATTGAACAGAACTTTTAGACACTTTTCTGCGCTCGTAAGTCGTAGTGTTTCCGCCTTTTTTTAACCCTCGCCGGCACAGGCCATTTTGCGTCCTTCGACGGCACAAGGGGGGGGGGTTGATACGACCCCCCCTCGCGTTTGGCCCCTGATCGAGCTAGAGCTTCGCGGAAAAAAAACGAGCGTGTTGCCCGTCACGAGAAAAAGCCGATGATACCCAATTTTAGGGTCCTAGGTCATCGGTTGACCTTCCAGGTCAGGTCAATGACCCAAAAGTCGGGAAAATCGGGACCTGTTAGAAAGTCGTAAAGTGTGGCTGCTATGTGGTTTTCCGGGGTGCTGATCACGAATATCGTGTTAGTTTTGATCAGAGATGATGTCTTTAAGCATTTAGACCAGGTAAGGTCAGGTCAGGTCAGGTCAACCGTTAGGGGTTGTGACGGGTATTCGTAATACGTGTCAACCGCCTCTGACAGCTTCGTAACATGTTACGAAGGCACCAAAACTACTTCGTAAATGTTCAAATGGTTGCTAAATTCGAATTCAGCTCCAAAAACTAGCCTAGAAACATGTAAAACTCGAAAAAGTGAACCGAGGTCACCCGAGGTCACCAAAGGTCAATGACCTGACCTGACCTTCAGGTGACTTGAAACCCACCCTAATGTATGGGAGCAGCATCAAATCACATGTTTGAACGTTTGAAACCACGAAAAGCTTGCAAACGCGCGGCTAATGCGAGCCGACATACGCCGAATCGCGATTCGGGCCAAACATGGTCTCGGAAAAGAGACAACAGGTCAAAGGCCATTTGGGTCAGGGTCATGAAATTTTCAGGGTAGATGTAAAATTGATCAATGCGAGGGTACTGAAAGTTTCGTCGCGATCGGCCGCTTTTTACGCGAGTTATTCGCGAAAAATCTTAGGGAGGGGTTGCATCAAACCCCCCCCCCCCTGTGCCGGCGAGGGTTAAAGTATTTCTTGCAGCCGTTTCATAACACAAAAGTCCTAATGCTTTGTCGTTTCAGCGCACGTATATACTAAGTGAAGAGGCGTCTAACGGCGTTGTTTGTCGCAACTGAGACCTCGAGTAATTTGGCAGAGAACCTCGTTCAGTTTGAACGTCCAACTTCAATTTCATTAGCTTAGGTGCCTTCATCCTTGCCGCGCTGTTTTACTTTTGTGTTTGGTGGCTTCTGTTGGAGGCGGAGCTATGTCAGGCTGTCAGGACAATTTGTCAAATCAGGGATGCAAATGCACCGCATTGCTTTCTGAAAAGCTGACCATAGTCACCAAATAATGTAAGATCTATATTATGATTTATAAGATGTCTGTGCGTGCCTGCGTCTGTCAGGACTTATGTGTCTTATTGCGCCTGAAAGGCGCCGCGTATCGGCGTGAAATTTGGCATGCCGAATTTGTGGGCGTGGGGGACCTTTGTATTAAAATTTGGGTGTGATCGGGCCAGGGGTGCGCCGTCGGCACGTGCAAAAGGGTGCTCCCATAGGCTTAACACGTGGCCGGCGAAAACCGCCAACGGGCGAAAATCGGGCCTGCAGCGCTCCTTTCCCGAGCTTATATCTCGGCAACCGTAAGTCGCAGCCACATGCGGTTTTCACTGATGGATACAGAAGAGATGGGTCTATCGTATGCAATAAGTTTTTTTCTTAGGTATGTACCACGTGCAAAGAAATAGCCTCTTATCTTGAGAAAACGGGCATTTTTTACACATTTCAGGAAAAACGTTGGCATTTGAAAACGATGCATTGGAATGACACGGGATGCATTTCGCGGACTACAAGAGGATCTGAACTGTTCAGAAAATATATATTTTTGCCCATTCACTCGCACATCTTCATAATTAAACGCTTACAAATTGAGGGTTTGACGTGTTACGTTCATGCTCACCTTTGCACCGTCATAATGTATTGATAACGTCGACTTATGGCTATAAATCTACCCCAGATCGAAAGAACACTCTTTTCTGATCAATATCCACCCAAAATATTTTCAAAAAGTCATCAAGGGTTCTAAGAAACAGAGCAATGATTATACCGTTTTCGACGCATTTTTACCGGTTGAGCGGCGGCCAGGCTTGAACGCGGCCAGCGGCGCGGTAATATTACCGTGTGCTTTATATTCGTCTAATACTCGACCCTCTTCCGCTAACAGCGCGGCCGAGTGGATAAGATGCCAGTCTCATAACCCGAAGGTGGATGGTTCGCGGCTGGTCAGCTACCACGCTTTTCGCCCGAATTCGTCCCTAGGTAGCATTCGGCCAGCCGGCAACCGCCGAGAGGGATGCGAATGTTACATTTTAACGAGCTGGCGCACCGTTAGGGATCGACTCAGCAACAAAGCATTCTTACTCTCAGATCAATATACCGAAAGCTGGCCATCTAGGGTATGAGTACTAAATAGTGTATGGGCAGAGTAGGTATGGGCAGGGTAGGGTATGGTTAGGTGACTGGTAGGATAGGGTAGAAGTTGGGTATGGGACGGGTAGGGTATGGGCAGGGTAGGGTATGGGCAGGGTAGGGTATGGGTAAGGACCCAAATAATACCAATAAAACGATTTTTAACCCAGCATAATGCATCCGTAAAACCAATTTAATCAAAACATAAAGTTATAGCGCAAAACATGCCATCTAGTCTAACATAAATTTGGATTATCAGCAGCACGCAGCACTGTGTGCCGTTGAAATGTTCATGCATGTTAAGATAAACGACCCGGTGCCGTTTGATTCCTCTGGGTACACTGCCTTCCGGAGTGCAATAGTCCGGAAATACTGTCTGGGTCCCTGTGGGGCCAGTGTATCTTCAGTGCCGAGCGCGGCCAAATGTCAATAGTCCCGTCATTGTATCCCGTCTGCATGGCAACGTCGAATAGCGAACATCTGCATAGGAAATAACTACGTCTGGGACTTGATTATTTGCCTGACTTTGGCACGGCTTCATTTTACTGATATTTGCTTCAATATCTGGGAGCTGAGCTATGATTAAAGTGTTTTATTCTTTCCTTTGTTTAAATGAGTTACACGCTTTCCATTTTCCGTCCAACTCCTGTGTTTTCCTGAATTGAGCAGCTTCAAATTAAAAACTGCGCTCTGGAAGGTTGTAGAATGTGAACCTACCACTCTAGCCCAGAGGAGTCCAGAAAGGATGGAACACTTGTATGTCAACCACAAGAGCATTGAGTGGCAAGGAGCGGGAGAAGAGAGTTCGGGCGGTGTTGGAACACGACTGGAAAGAAAGGGGAACAAGAAGTGGAATGTGTGAAACAACAGAAGAAGAAGAAGAGGAGGGATGAGGCACTACTGGAAGGGACTAATGCGACTGAGGAGAGACATACAGTAAACACGCCATCTCATGCTAAGGAGAGACCAAGGAACACTTCTGAGGATGGATGGAACGTCACTGAAAAAAGACAGACACCACTGAGGAAGGACATACAATACTGAGGAAGGACAGTGGCCCCCTAGTGAGGAGGGACAGGCGCCACTGAGGAGAGACAGACACTGCTGAGGAGCGACAGACACAAGTGAAGCGGGACATGCACCACTGCGGAGGGACAGACAGTAGTGAAGAGGAACAGACACTACTTGAGAAGGGACAGACACTACTGATGAGGAACAGGCACCAGTGAGGAGGGTCAGACACTACTGAGGAGGGTCAGACACTACTGAAGAGGGTCAGACACTACTGAGGAGGAACAGACACTACTGATGAGGGACAGACACTACTGAGGAGAGACAGTCTCTACTGAGAGGAACATACATTATTGTGGAGGGGCAGACACCAACTGAGGACGAACAGCCATCCTTGAGAAGAGACAGACGCGGCCGAGTGGTCCCAGTCGCGCTGGATAATGCACGGACTGTCGCGCCACGGGACGCGTCTGGTATCGATCACCTCACCACGGTACCTCTCGGCGGAAGAGCGATGGATCGGCCTCCACTGCCAGAGAACGAGGTTAAATGGGAAGTGGGAAGCTGACCTGGGACGTCTGGCACATGTGTTCTTGTGGGTAGGGATATAGAACAAACTAAATGTGGAAGCGGAATTCGCCAGGCTGTCGAGAAGAGTGTTGGCATTGAACTTGGGGTATGCATTTGCATTTTCAGAGATCATGCTGCTTGCAGTCTGGCATTGCGATGCTTTTTTAGCACAAATACGCCAGGGAGCAATTCGATTTGAAACTGTTTTTGTATAGTCAGCTCCCCAAAAGCGAGGTATTTTTCTGACTGCTTCGGACTTTCTAAGAATGTAGAGTTTTCTCGCCTTGCAAATATGCCTACCTATAGACCAAGCACGCCGGCTGTTGGCAGAGACAACGTCGATCCTAATGACGTGGTGTTTGTATGTGTGTGTTCGTTGTGGATCGGCACATATTGCCACTTAACGCTCTCGCTCGGCGGGGGAAAGGAAAATGCCGATCACAGCATTGGCTGAGTGCCACTGTCGGCAGTGGCCAACTCACTGCGTTCGCCCTAAATGGAGGTCATCAAGATGCTTTCAGAGATTGAAAATAAGAAACGAAAATAAAAAACCACTTCTTTGGCTGACTCAGTTCCGCCTTAGTACACGGTCATTTGTACGTTTTGTGATTGGTATGCTATGTCTACGTACAATTTTCTCGTGACAAACCAACTTTATAAAAGCGGGCCTTTATTTCCTTCGACATTTCCGTATGACTTGCCTGGACGAGCACGTCTTCGTTCGGAGTCAGAAGAGTCTACCGGACACCGGTAGCCAATTCAGAGGTCTACCATTACCTGTCCTGACCATTACGCCTCACCTCTGTTCCAGGGTGGGATCGGCTGGTGGACCACGATGTCGTCAGTCGCCAGCTGTCCATCTCATCCGACAGCAAACTTCTCGACGATGACGTCAGAGAGGAGGCCAACGTCATCATGAGACCCAAACGGCCTCCGAGACCCAAGTCAGAGGCATACCTTTGCGAGGAAAGCAAAACTTCTAAACGATATTCAGCGTTTGGCGTAAGTTAGCATGACATCTGCTCTCGCATTGGTTCGTGCGTTAGATAATTCCGCATTCGCATGTCTTTGTTTACTTTATCCATGCACAATCCGCACCCAGTTTCGTCAATCACTACCTCGCTGTCGGCGTTATCCGTGGTATTTGCAGCGGAATCTGTCGGTCATTCCACCACTCAGCGAGGTCCGGCGGCGGCTCAGAGCTGTCAGGGTCTCCCATCAGCCGCCCCGCTCCCCGACATTATGCATGCATAACGGTGGAGCCGCTCTGATGGATTGGATGGGAGAAAACGCGCCTCGGGAACTGGGTTATGTGAGACATATACAACCTTGAAAAGACGGGCGAGGCAGTTGTGTTCTTTTCTGTGAAAGGCGTAAGTGTTTTGGGGGCTGTATTGCGATGGGATATTCCACTGTGGCGCGCTAGCGCCAGTAATTTAGCTGTGGCGTGCCCTCCGGCCAGCCTGCCTTTGCGCCGCCGATCGCCGCCGCGCGCCATGTTTACAATTTTATCAAGAACGTTTGTTTTCCTCTTTTATATTATTGTAAATTCGTTATTATCGTCACTTCTGTTTTATAGATTTCAACCGTATTTCATATTTGTCCTTGCTTTAATTTGTTGTAATTTCTAGATTGACTTTTCGCCGTTTCCATATACTCGATTCGTTTTTGATTATGTAAAAAAGTGTTTTAACTTTTGGCAGTGTAGTTCCGCCCCCATTTACTTCCTGTTCGTTTTGATCTTTATGGTTTTTGGCACGTGTCTGAGTTAAAATATAAATTTAGTATCCGTACGCAGAGTGTCAGAGAGGCTGAGTATTTCGACGAGTTCCTACTTTTATTTCTCACGTTTTTCTCCCAGTTTTACCCATATCTAACCATCGTTTCACTGTTTATTTCGTTCTTTCATTGTGGGTATTTCCTTTCCTCCGAACACGCCCCTATTTACCCTGAGACCCACATTCTGGTGACCCCGACGTGATTTGAAGTGATGAGTTTAACCTGTTCATATATCCTGTGCTTTTGTTGCCATTTTTTGTGTTTTTTTGTTGCTAACCTTGACATTGCCTACCTACTCGTCATGCCTCACTCTGACTGATAATGTGCTTGTGGCTGAGTTCCTGGCCCTGCCTTCTGCTGTTGGTGCTGTTTTCGCACCCGTGTGCAGCCTGACAAACCAGCTGTCTCGCAGTTCCGCTGAGCAGCCCCCCGCCGTCAACCAGCACCAGCAGCAGGACGAGAGGCGACCAGCAATAAGCCGACACGACCCTGCTGCACAGGATGACGACCCTGCCGCGCAGGACGCAGCCGCCCCTCATGGGGCCTCTGTCAAGCCGCACCTGGCAGGAGCTCCGCCGGTTGACTACCAGTTGACTGCCTCAGCTGCTGGGACACCAGTCAACGCCGTCACTGTGGACGTCACCGACCTGCACGCCATCTGAACCACAGATGAACGACCTGAAGACCGCCTCATTCTACGAGTGCAGGAGACATCCTGACTCCTGACGTTTGTTTCCTCATGTTGACCTTTCCATTGTTTTCCTATCCTGGCCCGCTGTTGTTCCTTCCAGTGTATGCTGAGGTCTCTGTACCCCTTCTGGCTCATTTTCTGTCGTCTTGTGGTTGACTCTGCTTCCTACTTCCCAAACAATCCAGGTGCGTTCCTGGTCAACCAGTCCTGACCAGCCACCTCCAGTCCAGGCTCTCCTGTGTCAGCGACCCCTCCATCTTGGAGCAGTTCCAGCCTGGAGAGACCTCGGACGCCTGCCTGATACCTGCCAGCCACCACATAGACACCGGCAGCTCGCCTCCAACGTGCCAGCCCAAGATGACTGCCGCCTGTACCAGCAAACGACACAACGTGGACTCGGTGCTGCCCGCACCGACCCGGACCGACGAGCTGCTGGTCACCGCGCCGCCACCGGACGCCGAGCCGCTCGCCGTCGAGTCGCTCGCCGCCGTGCTGCGCCCGGCCGCCGGGTCGCTGGCGACCGCCGCGCACCGGACGTCGATCCGCTCGTCGCCTCGCCGGTCCCGGCCGCCGGGTCACTGGTGACCACCGCGCAGGCCCGCTTTTGTGAATTGTGATGTGATGTGATGGCTCCGCGACTAAGAGGGGGAGCAGTGTGGCGCGCTAGCGCCAGTAATTTAGCTGTGGCGTGCCCTCCGGCCAGCCTGCCTTTGCGCCGCCGATCGCCGCCGCGCGCCATGTTTACAATTTTATCAAGAACGTTTGTTTTCCTCTTTTATATTATTGTAAATTCGTTATTATCGTCACTTCTGTTTTATAGATTTCAACCGTATTTCATATTTGTCCTTGCTTTAATTTGTTGTAATTTCTAGATTGACTTTTCGCCGTTTCCATATACTCGATTCGTTTTTGATTATGTAAAAAAGTGTTTTAACTTTTGGCAGTGTAGTTCCGCCCCCATTTACTTCCTGTTCGTTTTGATCTTTATGGTTTTTGGCACGTGTCTGAGTTAAAATATAAATTTAGTATCCGTACGCAGAGTGTCAGAGAGGCTGAGTATTTCGACGAGTTCCTACTTTTATTTCTCACGTTTTTCTCCCAGTTTTACCCATATCTAACCATCGTTTCACTGTTTATTTCGTTCTTTCATTGTGGGTATTTCCTTTCCTCCGAACACGCCCCTATTTACCCTGAGACCCACACCACCATTCTGTGGTTATGTGTTTTCCGGTAGAGGTGTACGATGTGGGCGCAAGTTGAACATTTTAGACTCCCCAGAATAATGGAAGACTCTCTGGAGATGAGTTGCCAGTTTTATGGCGCTCTCGTCATCGGTGACGGCTTTCAAGCGTTAACAACTTTCATTGATGAGTAGACCAAAAATAGCTGGAGCGGAAGAACATAAAACTACCGGATCGATGTTTCGCTGAGGTCGCTCAAACGATTTTCGCTTCCAGAATCCAATCCAGGCCACAAGCTGCTCTTTTTACTGTCGGCTATTAGTGCACCGTGGTCCCTACTGAAAACATCCGTGAGCCAGTTTTATCCGGAAATGGCCAGAAGAGCACCCACAGGTCACGCGTTCATTGACCTGGCCACCGCGCCGGCCGACAGAGGCTCATATTGCACAGTAACGCGGCTGTGGGAGAGAGCAGGCATCGATCCGGGCGAACTCGCGCAATGGCGACCCGCCCGGTAAATGGCGGTCAGGGAGGTATATGACCGTCAGTCTACAGAGTTGTTCCGAGCTGACCTTTGACCCCGCAAATGGAGGTCATCACACCACCGACTGATCGTCAATCTATCTGCGCGGGATTGGGCTGATGGAAGTCGGAAATGATGCACGTGAGGGCAACGATATGACATTCTAAATATAGACATCACGGTGAAAGTCGTGCGCCTTCATTGGGATATGTCATATGATATTTTTGGGCGCACCTAACTTAACCTATATTTGCCGACCGGATTCATTCCTACGTCGGGTCGATGTGTGTAAAGAATGCACTGGATTCCACGTAGAAGAAAAGGCCCCTTTAAAAACGTTTTCGGATCGCAAAGAAAATTGTCTAGCTCAATAAGACACAACTGAGCAGCAACAGTTGAAAAAAAGAAAAGAAAAATAATACCAACGCCATGACAGGAATAGCCACGAAGCACTCTTACCGCTCAGCACACAAAGGGATACATGCCTGTTTTGCCCGCATGAATTCCTGTCAGCTAACTCGATCAAATCGGCCCGAACGGACCGCATTTCACCGTCATGATGCGGGCGTTTTTCAATGTCGATCGATTTCTCGTTTGAAGGCTGACCCACAGCTCCTCTAAAAGATGAACTTGAACTGCTCGTAAATTGTGAACGACGTGGCTCACAAACAGGCATATTTTTCATCCATGCTGACGTGAAGAAATGAAAATTATAGTTATCGAAAAAATGTGACGAACTATTGTAAACTCTCTAACTGAAGCAGTGACTTCATGCGCCCTGTTAACCATTCCATGTTTCTTCTTGGCAGGGAGATTCTCCTTTTGGTCGACAGGAGGCTTACTTGAAACTGAACCAACTTGGGGAAGGCTCATACGCCACTGTCTTCAAGGGATACAGCAAGTGAGTTGAAGAAATGTCCACATTTTTAGTTGGTTCTGTCTAAGAGCACAAACTCTTTATCAGCTTGTAACTCATCATACTTTTGAGTGAAACGCAATGTTGCCATGTACTTACCATTACCTACTCAGGAACTCGATAATCAGACTGAATAGGAAGATTACAATATATATGATATAGGAATTGGAATATAGAAGAATATAGAGGATATAAATAGGCAGATGCCAGATACCTATACTAGGAAAATCAATGGCAAGGACGGAGAAGAAAAGCTTTTATGTCACACACATGTCACATAACCTAACCCTAACCCTATACTGAAAACAAAAGCAGTCAAGCGCGGCACTGCAGACCGCACGGCGCACACGTTCCTGGGATGGTAGACTATCCCGCCCGACACGTGGGTACTGCGGCACAGCCGTCGGCCGGTTGAACGGACGACAGTCCGTCTCGGGCTGTGCGTGCTTATGCACGGCGTCTGTCGTCATTTCGTCATTTCGCAGGTGTTGCATTTCATATAATGAAGTAGTTCTTACTTATGGCATATGAGTCCTTCTGGTGCTTAACTCTACAGTGAGTGATAACACTATCAGCCTAAAACAGAGGTCGATACGAATATGTCAAATTGCTTTTCGGTTTTATTTTCACGTTCGTTCACCTTCAGACCGAAAAGGACGATACAATTGGGACATATTAGGCATTGCATTTCATTGCTTCCGTCATCTATATATCAATTGTAACTGCCTGAGCTGGCACAAGAAAAACAACTCATTTTCTCCTTGAAATGAGGCATCGAATGAAAAGAAGATGCACTCACTGAGGCCCAGAAATGCCTAAGAGATACAGCGCTCTCCCAAGTTTGAAGCTTTCGGTGTTGTTGGTGATGCTGAGCCTGCAACTCTAAAGTATATGGCGTTCTATAGCAAAGCCCACGTTTGCTAAAAAAAAAAAAAAGACAGAGGAGTACAGGATGCGACGGGATGATTGAGGAACCTTCACATCAGATTCACTTTCAGAATAAATCCCAAGCTATAAGTCGGTATTTCGGCATGTCTTCATCCCTCTTTTACCACTTCTCCGTCAGTCTGACGCAGCAGACGGTGGCGCTGAAGGAGATTCGCCTCCAAGAGGAGGAGGGAGCGCCCTTCACCGCTATCCGCGAGGCCAGTCTGCTGAAGGAGCTCAAACACGCCAACATTGTCACCCTGCACGACATCGTGCACGTCAGAAACGCGCTCACCTTTGTCTTCGAATATGTGGTGAGTGACTCGTTTACGATAAAGATGGATGGTGGATGGATTATGATACTAACATAAGTATTGTACTGAGAAAGGTGCATGGTTTTGTGATTCACGTCAATGTTTTGCATTGAAAAGGCACCAATGATAAGCTGACTACATTCATCTATGAATCGTTACGAGTACTTTTTCTCGGGCAGTATTTCTGGCCGGCATGAACTTTTTGAAATTTGGCCAGCTCCCCTTGCCGACATTTCAGTCTTCGCCACACTGTTCTCCACCCTATTGAAATATTTTACTGCTGCACAGCACACGGACCTGGCACAGTACTTGGACCGTCACCCTGGCGGTCTTCACGCTAAAAACGTACAACTGTTCCTGTACCAACTGCTGCGCGGCCTCAGCTACTGCCACGAGCGGCGCATCCTTCATCGGGACGTCAAGCCACAGAACCTGCTCATCTCGCAGATCGGAGAGCTCAAACTGGCCGACTTTGGTGAGAGAAGGAGGGAGAGGGAGAGAGAGAGAGAGAGAGAAAGAGAGAGAGAGAGAGAGAGAGAGAGAGAGAGAGAGAGAGAGAGAGAGAGAGAGAGAGAGAGAGAGAGAGAGAGAGAGAGAGAGAGAGAGAGAGAGAGAGAGAGAGAGGAAAAAGGGAAATAGAGAGGGGACATTGGCAGAGTTGCATAAATTGTATGTACTTGAGGATTGTCCCGAAATTATCAGCATAGCGTTTCATAAATCCAAAAGCTCATGTATCGTTGTGTGAGCGTCGCATCCATAGTGCTTGTCTTGTTTCAGGTCTAGCACGAGCCAAGTCGGTACCGAGTCATACCTACTCACATGAAGTTGTCACACTGTGGTACCGACCTCCAGACGTACTGCTAGGGTCCACAGGTATGGACTGATGTAATAAGTAATTAAGTGATTTAATGTACTGAACCGGCATTTACTACGTAGCATTCCCTTTACATATTTGACGTCTGGCTCTGCTAGTGCGGCGATGAAACTTGCTACTTATCAAGCAGGATAACACCTCCTTAAACTCACGAGACACTCCCGCGACAGAGTACACCACGTCACTGGACATGTGGGGCGTCGGCTGCATCTTCATAGAGATGATCGCCGGCGTGCCCGCCTTCCCCGGCGTGCGTGACGTCTCCGACCAGCTGGACAAGATATTCCGTGTGATGGGCACGCCGGACCCGCGCTCTTGGCCGGACCTGGAGACGCTGCCGCACTACCGGCCCGAGAAGCTGAAGGAGCACCGAGCGCGCCGGCTATCGGCAGTGTTCCCCAGACTGGGCGAGCTGCCGTACGCCGAACTGCTGGCAGTCAGAATGCTGCATGTGAGTGGAGGGAGGAGGGACTGTGTTGTGGGGAATAGATGCTGGATAAGATCAGATGAAGATGTACACTTACACACAGGCTTTATTTATTGGTTTAGAAGTTAACTCTACAATGTTAAGGCTTGTTGCGCTCTCGTTGGCATTTATGTTTATTCCATGTGTATTTTATGCCCCTTTAAAATGCGCAATTTCGCATTTTGTTGTTGATTCAATAAAAAAAATAGCATCACCCCACCTGGCGCTGTTAGGCAATGACGATTGACGACGGTGATGATGACGATGACGTCGTTGATGATGACGATGACGTCGTTGATGTTCCAGCTGGTCCCGGAGCGGCGAATCACCGCAGAGCAGGCGCTGCGTCACTGCTACCTGGCCAGTCTTCCGCCCGGTCTGGCTAACCTCTCGCCCCGGCAGAGTGTCTTCTCTGTGCCGGGAGTCCGGCTACACGGCGAGCTGCGCCAGTTCGCGCCGGCGCCACTACCCAAGGCCGCCCACGAACGGCGCCTCAGGCACTAGCGGGTCGCCTGGCCAGTGCGCCGTGTCGCCACCAGAGGCGCTAGTGTCTGTCAGGGGCGCGGCGAGGCTTAGCGAAAGGGGAGATCATGTGCCGTTTCCTACTGCAGGTTTTAAGTGACTGGAACTAACCTAAGTTAACCCGCGCCCTGCTGGGGGGGGGTGTTTGAACACCCCCCTTGTGGTTTTTCGCGAATATCTCAAAAACGGCGGCGCGGAGCGCCGCCGTTTTTGGTACCCCTTATCACACATCAATTCTACACATGTTGTGAAAATTTCAGACCAAGGTCATTCAAGGTCAGGTCACCAGGTCACTTGAAGTGACCTCACCTCATAAAAAGTTTCAATGTCTGTCATAGCTACACCGAGTGACCGATTGCTTTGAAACTTTCAGCGATTGCTAAGAGCAATAGCATGTACAAAATGTATATCTCAGAATTTTGATATCGATGACCTAAGGTCAGGTCAATTTTGCGACCTCCCCATTATAGGTAAGTCAATGGGAGAAAATTGAAATGCGCCGCTTTTGGACAAAAGACATTATAAACACTCCCAAACACCGAATTACAAGTGGTTTAGACACACTGAACATGAAAATGGTGTCCATGACCCTTGTTTATGCCCTGAGGTCATCTAAGGTCACGAATGGTATCTAACAGTTTTTCGCAAATAACTTTTGATAGAGGCATGCTAGAGCGATGAAAACGCCTTAGATGTGTTCAGCTCGACGATACGGATCGACTGATATGCAACATGACCCTTTCCGGTCAGGTCATGACCTTGACCTGAGGTCAAATTTTCAAGTTGACCTTTCAAGGTCAACTTATAGTTCATTCGATGCGTCTTGACGAGAGGAACACAATGCCGGTAAAAGTAAGCTCGTACAAGGCTTGGGTCAAAAGTTATTGCAGAAAAACTGTTTCCGAAAAAATCGGCTATTTTTGCAGTTTTTGCCCCCTGCAGGCAAAACCGTTGACGTTAGGTCAAATCTGAGAGAATTACTCAGAAAGGGCTTTAATAGGGCTATCGAATGCGCTTTTCCGCGGCGCTGTAGCTCTATTGGTTCTCGAGTTATGCGTTGGCTTCTTGGAAATTTTCGACATTCGACCTGGAAATCGGCGACATTTTGCCTTCATTGACCTCTGGTGACCTGACCTTTGACCTGACCAAAAAATTGACCGAAGTGATTTCGTCATTATTTTTGACGCTCTTTCGAACGCCGCCTTCCGCGTATCGCTACGTGGCCCAGGAGCCGAGTTACAAGGGGGGGTGTTCAAACACCCCCCCCCCCCAGCAGGGCGTGGAAATCCAGGACCCCCAGCCGGGCGCGGGTTAAGTGGCGACGCACCGAGTGATAAAACTTGGCGAAGACATGTGAATGTGTCCAAAGACTCATGCGAAGTTAAAAGCGAAAACAGCAGGCTAGAGTGATCGAAAAGATAGTGAGATGAATTTTATATGGTGTGCTGGGTATACATATGATCTCTTTATAGTTGCGACAACTCCAGTATATTAGTGAAAATGATCGTCATGTTTGTACATTTGTCTTATTTGTCCATTGTTGTTTGTTTGTCCATTCTTCATGGCGAGGTGACATGAAAGTTTCTTTTTGTCATTATTGCCTTGTGAATGATACAAGCTTGTGAATCTGCATGCAGATTGAGACATCGCGTACACCGTCGTTGACTCGAACCGTTGTTGACATCATATACCAAAACAATGTTTGTTTACGTCACAATGATACCCAACTATTTACTTTCGATTAGAAAGTATGTTCCTTCTACTGACTTGTGTCCTAAACATCTGTAAAATATGAACTATTGACTGTTCATCTGGGTCACCGTATTGATATACAATTATTTCACTGTTGCTACTTTATCGATTGTTATAGCTTCTAGCCTTGCCAGGGATGTGAACACATGATATGAGAGTGTGAGTTGCGAGGGTGTATGCTTTTCAATCATCGTGCTATTTGCTAAAGACTGAAGTGTAGCTTACCTGTCTCGCACTGCCACAAACGCTCACTGCATCTCGAAAGAAATGAAACTCTTGTATGTATGCTGGAGAGGAAGTTGCACGAGAGGAGTGTAGGTACTCGGGGTGCTTTATTGAATGAAAGAATTGAATGCATGTGAAATGTAGTGATTGTGTTTTACTCGCTGGTACCAAATGACAATAGAATGTCGGAACAGCCATTTGATGGCAAAAAGTGTGTCTTTATGATGACGTTGAAAATCCAAAAGCCTTAAAAACCTTCGAAATCCTTTAAAAATCTTCCAAAAACAATGAACAAGAATATTGATGATAATGGCATGCAAAAATGGTACTATGAAGAGATAAACTATGAAATTTTGCGTAGTATCCTGCAGTTTTGAACACCCTCGTGTATTTCATGAGATTAGCACACAAGTACCCAATCCTGGCGCTTGGGAGCAAAATTATTGCGCGAACATGTCGCCTGTAATTAAATCAATCAACCTCGCCCGTTCAGTGACTATGCTTTTGGTGGGAAATTTTAAACTACATCCCAACTTCCCACGATGAAACTAGCTCAGTTTCAGCGACGTGTGCATGAGAGCGAACTTTAAAACAGTTCATCTCCGTACCAGCCATTTAACGGCGTGGGTCGTAGATCATGGTAAATTGAACGGCCGCAGTGAAGTTGAGACTTGCACGTGGGCCGTGCTGGGTGCCTGCCGGAGTGACGTTAAGTGTCTGAGAAAGCGACATGGCAGAAACGGCATTATCTATTTATTTGTAACTGAAGACCAGTTCACTTCCTCACGGTGCAAACTCTGGCAACAAGCGCCATTATTCACGGCATGTCACGCGGCGTCTTCAGACTTCAGCCACGGGTCTGGTGTAGCTCCTATGCACTATTCAGTAAAGTAATCAGCATTCACTGTACTTGTCAAACATTCTTATCGACTAAAGCAGTTCATGCCGTAAAGGCAGTTCTTGTATTTCCTCTCTACCTGATACAATGCTGTGAAACGCTGCCAAACTTTAATCTTGTCGCTCAAATGCCCGGTGAATGTCAAGTGACAACTGGTCAAATGTTAATGCTTGGTTAGTTTACCAACCTAGCTGCACTTTACCAAATAGCGTAATTAAATCGTTATTTGTCTGTTCTGATCTAAACCGCAATTGCAGCAGCACGAACTTTGATATACGCTAGTCAGGCACCATTAAAAGTTGCGAACAATGACGCCCTGCAGTATATTCTCATTACACTGAGCACCGCCTAGATTAGCCGTCTGACCTAGTCATCATCTCCAGCATCCCACGCCAACAGCCTCCATATCCAGGGCCGATTCCCCCGAGGCCAGGACCGATTACGGCCTTCCCGTGGTCCGACAGCGGCCATTTACACTGAGAGCTGTTTTGATTCCTTTTAAGCATATTAGGGGAATTGGTCTAAAACAACACCCTGATCATTTCTCCGAATATACCCCAAATACACTTTCTTTGAATATCACTCTGAAATTCTTCTAATATACCCTACACTGAGAACCTTTTTGATTCCTTTTGAGCATATTAGGGGTTTTGGTCTAAAACAACACCCTGATCATTTCTTCGAATATACCCAAACTATACCCTTGTTCTTTAAATAGCTCCCTTGAATTCTTCTAATATACCCTAGTAAGTACCGAAGAGTAAAGGAATATGACTCCTGTTCTATTCCCTGCGATACCCACAGTACACTCCTTTTAACCTACCAAAATACCCGTACATCGAAACCTCTAGTATTCCTTCTAAGCGTATAAGGGGAATATTTTGCAAACTATACTCGCATTATACCACGTAACACTCCCGTATTATTCTGTGATTTCCATCACTGATCTCAATGTATTCTTGCAATAGACCCCACATAGACCCAGAAGGGAAAATAATAATGCCCTAGGTATATTCGTCGTAGAACTTGTTCAGAACCTGTCTCATTACTCTCAGCTCCCTCGTCCGATTTCCCTTTATATATCGTAACACATCCAAAACGAGGGTTAAGGTTCTATCCCCAGCAGGGCGCGTATGGCTGAATAGCCCAGCGGGGCGCGGGTTAGTGGTCAGCAACACGTCCAGGGAGCGACTGCCCGTCCTCCTCGCCCGCCCGGCCGGCCAGTCCCGGCCCGCCGACCGGTCACCGCCGGAGGCGCCGAGCGGCACAGGTACGGTATCTGACAGTAGCGGCAGAGACTGTACATTAGGGTATATTAGAAGAATTCAAGGGAGGTATTTAAAGAATGAGGGTATAGTTTGGGTATGTTCGAAGAAAATGATCAGGGTGTTGTTTTAGACCAAAACCCCTGATATGCTTAAAAGGAATCATTTAAGAAATCATTTGAGTATCTTAAGGGCATTCCGCCAGGAAAACGGCAGAGTTATAGGAGCATGACACACCATGATCAAAGGGAATAGAGAATCGTTTTGGTTGTCAGTGTAGGCCTGAGTGGCCGGTGGGACTGGTTTGTTGTGGGTTAGTTGTTACTGGGGCTGAAAACAGATTTAGAGGAGGACAGCCGATGCATTTTACTCAGAGAAACCATGGTTGCTCTGAGTAGCTAACAGACGAACAGTAGCCAAACAGAAAGACAGTAAAAAAATTAACGCCTCGGTCGATATCATCGAGACGCCTGCAAGTTCAATTCACGAAGTTTGAAAGATGCGCTCAAATTTGGTAAGCTTGCATGAATATCTAATTGAAACGGGCTAGGAAGTGAGATGCAACTGTTTATTAGCTCGTAGTATAATTACCTTATTGTAGAGGTAATTGCAGCGCTAATTTCTTAAGAATATGTAGGTATTCAGCTGTAAAGAGCATTCATTCATCATGAGTCACACAAAACTCATGCCGAAGCACAGCACCATAGGCTAGTGGCCAATAGATTCTCGATTGCTGATTTCCTTGCGTTAGGTAGACAAACAAATTGACGGCAGCAGTTAGCTCAGCAATAAAAGCCCTCGGCATCGTCGGCCTCCATCGTCGGCCTCCTTATCTGCCGGCTGCCGTCTCGTCGGGTCATATTGGCGCGGCCACTATCGGAGGGCCGGTCGATGAGCGTACTAGCTCGTCTTGGCTCGATTTCAAGGCATTCATTCCGCTGTCGGAAGCGGCCGTCAGACCGA